CTGTGTAAATATTTACAAGCTCAAACTAACTACATGTTTACAAGCTATAGGAACGCCCTAATCCAGAGATCTGGAGAGAAAGAGTGAGAGAGAAGGTCAAACAGAGAGAGAAAGGTAAAACATTACTCCCACCCACTTGTTTTGAACTATTAATATATATATATATTCCATGACGTATAAGCGTAATAATTTAATTTATAGTGATGAATTTCTCCATTTTCCAAGACAATGTATCTTTTTGTATTCTGTGTGCTGGTCCGATTCACTAGTTTAAAATCTACTGGCACAATAAATGGTGTTGAATTGATACCAGCAGTGTTGACCAGATTATATATAAAAAAATATAATAAACACCAAGGAGCCAATCAGAAACAAGTATATTCCCTGGCCATGGTAAGCAATTGAAGTGGTGTAATAGACAATCTGTACGGCCTCAACATGTTGTTCATGTATCATAGCTGCATTTTTGTCAGTACGTAGCTCAACTCACCAGTATCCTGTCAAACGCTGAGGGAGTGCCTCCTCGCTGAACATGGCCGAGTACTGTCACTCTGGTATCGTAACCCAGCCTCTTTACCACCAGCTTCAAACATACAAACATGATAGCATTTCAGTGTATTCTGGCTTTGTCATTTGGCAGACACACACAACAGAGAGACTATGAGAGAAAAGTCCTTTACAAACATGTGAGAGGAAACTCTTCTAATGCATATTACAAATAAGGTCTATCCTTCATTTGAACCAAACTGCTTTCTGTCCCTAGTCCTTACATCTTTGAACTTACGTCTTTTACATAAGCTGAGGAGATGGGATTTCCGTGTATGTCGATGGCTCCTTCTGCAACGATTATAATGTTGAGTCTTGACCCCTTTATGCGGCTCTGGAGGTAAACAGATACATATTAGCCAGTAAGTCAGTACGCGCTGTCTTGCACTGTATTTTAGGAGAGGCAATTCAGCCTCCTCTATTTCTGAAATACTTGTAGACCAAAGAGTATGTCTATATTTCTCCTACTTCAAAACAGATCCCCTGTGAATACATACAGTATACAGTATATGTACATACTAGTTTTTGTGTCTTACCCCTTCTAGGCGGGCACACATACGGTCCTCCCAGCCTTCCCGAGGAGGAGCCTCTGGAATGAAGAGCCAATCTGCTCCAGACGCCAATGCTGACACCAAGGCCAGATATCTGGAGTAATAGCACAGTAATTTGTTTTATTCAGTGGCAGTGCAATGAGGATAGCAAACTGGGTCAGAGTGTTACTCACCCGCAGTGTCGCCCCATGACTTCCAGAACAAAAGTGCGCTGGTGGCTGTAGGAAGACACAACATTTATAGTGAAACAAGCTAATAAACATTTGCAGCAACTGTGTGTCAGTGAGCACACAAATGGAGAATTTTCAGATTGCTGCAGCATGCTGAGATCCAAGGGAGCAGGTCTGGACAAGATCATAGAAATCACGCCAGACAGGCTTGAATGGGGGAGTGGGGTAATAAAAAAAAACTTGGTTTAGATGATTGCATTCCATTAACATAAATTAAATCAATTTTAATTACAATCCATCATTAATCATTTTCTATAACTCTGTCCAAGGTGACTACTTTAAATTGCATCTTTTGTCCAAACAGTCCGACCCTTAGAGACAGTTTACTATGATACTGTATCGGACAAAGAACAGCAAAAAATCCTCACCTTAAGAAGATGGAGTTAGAAAATGCAAAACATTCTCAGATTACCAAATAGTTAGCAATTACTTTGACTAATCAATTAATCAACTGTATTGCTTCAGCTAGTCTGGTACCAAGCGGAGTACAGCTCAGATTTCAGCGTGTAAAAGGAACTACGGTGACAGTGACACTGGCAAAAAACGCGACAGGCCGGAACTAAAGTGTTTGGTTTGTCCATTCTGGGTTACTGTAGAAATCTGGCGGTTCAACATAGCAGCCTCCGTAAAAGAAGACCCACTCCCTCTGTAGATAAAACCATTCAAAGGTGACGAAAACAGACTAATTCTTATTTTCAGGTGAATATACACTAAAGACAAAATATACCTATCAATATTATATTTCATTTCTGCCAATAGATCCCCATAAATGTTACACACTGTACTTTTTAACTGAGCAAATTAATATTCATTCCTCATAATAATTGCTTTGATGAAACACCAGCTGCTTCAGTGCTGCCACTGTTCAGTCTCACACAGCTTCTGACCTTTGTGCCGTTGTCATGATAGCATCAATTATCTCCATGATGCGGTGCAGTGCGGAGTCAGCTCCAATGGTCATGTCAGTGCCGCAGAAGTCGTTGTCAATGGAGCCAACGAGCCCCACGATGTTCAGGTGGTTGTGCTGCTTGGCCATAGAGTCTGTGATCCTTCCTGAAGTGGCACATGTGCACATACAGAGACATTGTTGTAGTTATGCTATTAGTTTACTATTAATACACCAAAGCTAAAGGAAATAATATTCATATTAGTACAGAACGAGCTAGAGAATGATTCATAAATCAGGAGTGCTGACATGAAACGAGGGTGAATGTGTTTTTAGGGCTCAGTGACAGTTCGACAGTGGTTTCTTAAAAGCTCTTTACCTTTCTGTACGAGCTCCTCCAGCAGACTGCTCCACTCGGTGCGAAAGACGTTGGCTCCGGTGAGGCTGCCGTCTCCGCCGCACACACACAGGTTGGTGATGCCTTTCTTCACCAGGTTGAAGGCGGCGGCAAGTCTGCCCTCACGAGTTGTGAAGGCCTTGCATCTGGCGCTACCTATCACAGTTCCACCCTGCGGTCATATAACAAGTCATAAACCAGATCAAGAGAAACAGGACGTCGTAATCTGTCGCGGAGAAGTCATCACGCTGAATGACATTTCTCTTTGCTCTGGCTCATTGTTTGATATGTCAAATATCTCAGTTGGACGTTTAAGATTGAATGAAAACAGAACAGAGTAGTCGAAACATGTGTGTGCCAGATAAACTGAAGTGGTTGTGAGATAATTATCAGAGTAGGAAATAAGAAAAATAAATATGTTCTCATACATAAAATCTGGTTTATGTTCTCTAAAAACTATTCAAATGTAAGAAGGGAATATGTTTTTAAACTGCTCAAATTTAATCAACATGATCCCTGAGACATGGGCTGGCAAGTAGACATTGCTTTGTATCAATTAGCCATGAGCAAAAAGAAAAGTCAGGAACCAGCGTCAAACTAAATCTGGACATCTTGGTACAGGATACTATAATATGGGTTAAACACAACAATAACAGATTTGCTTTAGAAAAAGGAGCACATGCCCTTTGACACATTTGTTGCATAAATTCAAGACTACTAATGCAAAAAAGTTAGTGGGATTGCTTGTAATGTTCTTTTGAACAGTGCAACTTGCTGCTTCTTCAACTGATAAGGTTTAAAGCACATGCAGCAAGGCCCCTTACCGGGTTAAGACCTGAATTAGACAGGCAGGGAGAGAAGACATGAGAGGAGATGGATGAAATAATAAAAATCCCTATTAAAACCATAAAAAGAGAAACAGAGAGAGAGATTTAATACCAGAAAGAAAAGACAAACATCCTAAATCATAATATAATTGTACAATTCACAGAGGAGATTGTGACAGGTGTAAATAACAGTTACTGGGACACCTGAATAGAACAGGTGTGACAATGTCTGCTGTGAAAAAGGCCTCTTATAGCTACCTTTAACCCTGCTGACAACAACATTTTAACCTACCTGTTGGATGATGTTGGTCACACTGTGCCAGTGGGCCAGTTTGATGTTGTCTCCCCCATCCACCAGGCCTTGGTATCCCTGAAAAGTGGTCATTTCCAAATTGTACGTCAATGACAAGAAGAATGTGCGTGTTTATTGGGGTCATATCAATACAAAACAGCCTGTTTACCTCATAAATAAGATAGACCTTGGCCCCCACATAGATGCCCATTCTGGTCACAGCTCGGACGGCAGCATTCATCCCTTGATCAAGGACAAAAATATTAGCCTCACCTCTGCTCCTCAAGTCGTTACACACAAGCTGTTGCACCATAACCCTGCATGAGGAAATCAAACACACTGTGGTGGATATATTACTTCATTATCTCTCGTTGGGCAAAGGTGCCACCCGCTCTGTGGAGGCAGTAATCAGTCCTTCACAGGTGTTACATGACACTGTGTGAGCTCCCAGTGGTGGAAGAAGCACTCAGTAACAGTACAGAAGTACTCTATTGTGAGTAAAAGCCATGCATTCAAGTAAAAGTAGCAAAGTAGCAAAATAAAGTAGCAAAAATATGCATAATGACCTATTTCAGAATAATGTATTGTACTTTCATTTTACTGCAGCTGGTAAAGGTGGAGCTACTTTTCATTACATATAAAATTGCACTGTGCATGTAATTTCATGTTACATGTTGCATGTAATGTATATACTGTTTGTATTATTGTTCTGCCTGCCCAAATTAGATATATCCCAATATAATGCACCAGATCTCCAGTACTGAAATGTTTGTTTATTATAAGCAGTCCGCTGTCAAGTACCTTAAATTATACTTAAATGCAGTACTTGAGTGAGTGTATTTAGTTACTTTATACCATTGTGAGTTACATACATACCTCATACATCCATGAAGTTTTAGGTGTATAAAAGAAATGACTGTATGCAGCCTATTCACAACCTTTGACCCCTGCTGACTCTACATCCTACTGTCACTTTGATCCAGTTATTAGTTCACCCCACTCTGCATAAACAAACATTACTTTCTGCTTTAACTAACACTTATTACACTATATTTCTTAATATCAACGTGCATTCAAAGCCCCTAACTGCACTTTACTGACAGTCTGGCTGACTTTAAAGTCACCTTGTGCATCTCCACCGCTGGTCAGCACCGCTATGGCCCTCCCGGCTCCCGTCATCTTCAGCTTCTCCAAGTCCATCGAAGACATTTTGACCCGCTCAGTTTACAAACTGGGTCGAAAAAACGTGAATAAATGTCGGTTAACTTGCAGAAAGTGGTTGAAGTGTTGGGTAACTCTCCAGATGTCGCTTCCTCGTTCACAGCAGGTAAAACCCTCAGTGAGACGTAACGGCAGTGACGCTCCTTCAGAGTTTGACTCCGCCCCCCTCTGGTCCGACTGATAGGCGCTTGCTGAGTGGAGTACAGCGAGCGTTGATTTTATACGCCCGCACCGTCCGGTTAGAAGTCCGCTCCAGCGTCAGCACGTCTTACAACGTTAACCCCGCCCGCTCGCCGAGCCCCGAGGGATCATATGAAAGCAAGAAAGCTCAGCACGTATTTCAACAGGTTGAAACGCCACCAACGGTTTTTAACTGATAATTACTTAACGTTAAGTTATAGAAACATTTATTAATTTATTTATTAAACAACCAGAATAACTATTTGTAAATGTAGAACAAAAGCTAAATAAAGTAAGTTATTAAATAAGGTATAACTTTATAATAGTATTTTTTTTTTTTACCTTATTATTATCGTAGCCTAATTCAGTAATTTCCTACATTTTAAGTTCTAACGTTATATCAGTCAGTCAAAAGTCAACAACACTGACAACAGGTTTTAAAAACTATTAAGATTTTAAAACTTAAGTTAAAAATAAAAAAATGTAAATGTAAGTATTAAAAATAAAAATAAAATGTTTTTCTTCTTTATGTAGGGAGATACAATTTGCAGAACCAGTAAATACAGAAATATGATGTGAAAAATATATTTTTACAACCTCATTACTTCTAAAATCCTCCTGTGTTTCATATTATGTGGGTATGTTATATAAAACCATTGGACTGTAGGATCTACAAAACTTACATGCATTCCTAAAACTCATTAAATCCATAAATTAATATAAATTATGGGCATAGTTAATGATAAAAAACACCATTTGACTCTATTGTGTCACAGAAGAGACAGACCACTTTAGGTTGGGTACAGTACATCAGCATTTATTCCATGCAGTTGTTTGCTCTGATTTTATTCTCCCAGATACCCATTGCACTGTACACTGGATAATACAGGAAACTGACAGGATTGGTTGATCATAATGCCATTCAACAGGGAAGGGAGTTGGAAATGAGAGTAACAAAGAAACAGATGTTTGATACGTGGGATGAGGCAACATGATGTCCACAGTTATAGACAATTTCACAGAAATTCAAATGTAAGTAACTGGTGTTTTTGATTAAAAATGAGAGGAAGGGATCTCTGCAGAAGTACAGAAATCGGCATCACACGAGCCTTCAGACGTAAAGTCTCATTTACCCTGGTTTGACAGTCTACTGACTGGCTTTTGGTTTGTACTACAAGTGATTCCCTATAGCCTATGTAGACATAAAAAAGCTTTTTAGGAAACACTTGTTTGTTAATTACTGATGAAAAGTCTGTTAAATCAATGCTTCATCCACAATGCTGATCTAAATAACGAATGGTCCCCCTCTGCAGGGTCACGAAAGATTTAAAAAAAAATAAATGATACCCAGATTAACGTGATATGACAATGCTTTTTTGTTCTATCATACAAATACTGTCCTCTTCCCATACCAATTCATTGTGCTTCCTTTAAATAATACTTTCCAGGAGAAATCATAGGTCATGACATTATTTCTAAAGCTGCCTGAAATTAAAAAGAACAAAACACCTTTACCAGTCATTCATAATAAATTAATTCAATAATCATGTAGGCCAGCTACAAAAAAAAAGAACAAAAAAAAGAAATCAATATTAAATTAAAACTTTACAACAATCATACTTCACAGGATATATGCCAGATAGACAATGTTATTAACAGCTTGATCGGATTACCCAGTCGTTACAATACACTAGGTTATTTCACACGTACGTAAACAAGAGTGAAGAAAGGTCGAGGAGAGGCAGCAGCTGCTTTCAGTACCAGGTGTAAGCCTTTTTCAAGCACAAAATGATAATTGATCCATCAGTACAGTTTTAAATTCACCTTGTGCTACTCTGTTCTTATGACTCACACCCTCCTCCTGCGGTGATCAATACTGATGTAATACAGATATATTCTGCTCATTTTCAACCAGTCGGCTGCTCGTCAGTGACAGCAGCTCGCCCTCTGTCAGAGCTGTGCGATACGTTAAAAGAGAGAGGACAAAAAACGGGGTTACATTACATTTACAGGTGTTTATATACAGGAGTAACTAACACTGAGATGAGGTTGTTTGAAAAACCAAGAGCAGCTAAATTTGCTCTGTGGCCTTTTGTGGTCTCTGGCTTATATTCCTAACTTAGAAACTCAGCCGTCTGTGTACACTTCAGCTGACGTCTTGACATCATTATCTTTAGATTTCAACCCTGGCTGGCTAATTTTCAACCGTTAAGTCATTAAAAGGTGGACGACACACACTCTACAGGTGGCGGTGGGGGAATAAAGCTCTCACAGATGCAGTATCCATTTTCAAAAGACAACAAGACACAAAAAAAAAGAAGTAATATTGCTGGGATTCTTGGATTTGGATGGTCATAGGAGACATAAATTACCATGTGTTGAAAAGAAGGAATCAAACCAGGACATTTACATAACATGAGGAGAAGTAAGTCATTGTAACTGTCGCCATCTAGTGGCTGTTGATATATTGCTCCTGCTGTCAATCGGCAACATAAAAACCTGAGCATCAATCTCTGGAAAGGCAAGTTCACAAAAAATGGGACAATTTAAAAATATAGCATCTATAATAAGTCGCTTGGACACTTGCTGCTCTCCTCTAGCCACCAGTCACAATATTGTGTCTAGCCAGCTAGACGCCCCAGATCCTGAGCAAGCAACTCCCATTTCTCACCTGAGCGTCGACCTACAGTACATTATTGCTGTTTTATTCACTACAGCACAGAAGAACAATGAGCATTCTTGGACATTGCTTATTAGACAGTATAAATTACCCTGCTAGAAAATGGTACATTGGAGACGCTGCACCTAGTGATTTTAAAGAAATGGGATACTGCACCTGGATTGCAACTAAAAAAACGCTCTACATGTCTACATAACTTTAATGTCTGTTACAGCAATAATGGGTTGAACATCAAGGCTATCTGCAAGACCTTCTTTAATGTTCCTGTGTGGTCTGTAATATGTGCCGCTCAAAGAAGACTCCTACATACAAGAATTGGTCCAGTCCAGTTTCTCGCAGTCCTCGAACAATCCTGAGATGAGACTTGAAACTGTAATGTCTAATGGAGAGGAAAGGGCTTTTTTGTGTTCACACACACACACACACACACACACACACACTCTCTGATAACTCCCTCAACAACTCTGGTCATGACATCTGATTGATGATGACAATGACATTGGCGTGTCTTGGAGGAAAGGATGAGCTGGGACACAGAGGAAGAGTCTCTTTTTTTTGTTTTTGTTTTATTCTTTTCCTTAGCCGTCAGCCGAGTCTTCATCTCTGTTGGTCTGCTGGCTTGTCCACTTCATGCAGTCTTCCGGCAGCTTTTCGCGTTTTCTGCGAGCTGCACAGGCATGCTAGGACAGTTCAGCGGGGATCCTGATGACTAGACACATGTGGTGGCTCTAGGGAGAGGGAGGGAGAGAGAGAGAGAGAGGGGGGTCCGGTTGCGAGGCAGGTGGTTCATGCTGGTGTTCGCACTGTTTTCATGAGCTCCCTGTTCCCCACTCACCAAGATAGAGGGCGGGTGGTTGTGGAGGGAGGCGTGGGGCAACTGGGGCTCTGCACTGTAAACTCATGATAAAGCAGGTTGGGCTTTTACTTTTAGTAAGAGGGAGTCCTTGTATGGTCGGGGACTTCCGTCTAAAACGGTAAGATGCTGAAAAGCAACCGTAGCCAGATCAAAAGGCTTGTAGCGACGCTCCCAGTCTGCGTCAGTCACCTGAGAGACCGACAATAGCAGTGATGCAACTCCACGCTGCTGGTTGTCAGCCTCGGTGTACATCAGCACTCCAACACATCCTCCTTCTCATCATCATCATCATTATCATCACCATCTGCATCTTCATCCAATCTCAGCCTCTCCCCAACACACAGTTAAGCCCATGCTCAGTTTCAAAATGTTTTTTTTTTTTCTTCCTCTGTTTGGATCAGAGAACATACAGAAGTCCTGAATTTTTCCTTCAAAACTCAGACAAAAATAAATTATGAATGTTACACTATCTACTGTACATTATCATTCAAAAGGGAATCCCTGCCATGGGTTGCCCGGATGCTGTGCTAGAGATGAGGGAAGATTGGGTTTTGTGAAGGGAAGGGTAAGGGTAAGGGTGGAGGGGGTTCTGGGAGAGACTGCATGGGGCTTTGCTATAGGGAGCTTTGTTTACAATGTCGTCCTCTTATTGCTGTATTTTCTGCAGGGCAGAGTGGGACACGATGGCCTCCAGGCAAAAACAGAACCGAGCCCTGGGGGAGGTTTCACCACGTGGAAGGAGCCCCGACTTTGTTGTTTCTAATGGTGGCATCAGAGCACTCTGCTTCTGATGTATCGCAGTCTGAGTCCCCAAACTGTAGCGGATTCTAGGAGAAAAATGAGACAGAAACATCAACACATATCCAGGATAAGGGCAACGACTTTACTATATTGATTCTATAATCTGACTGTGGACTTTTGGGGTGGAAAATAAAGCCTAACATACTGAGCCAATTTGATTTGTGGATGCTTTGTTTTACCAAAGTGGGGGACAGACTGAACAAAACTTAAATCATAAGCGCTACGCCTAGCACTAGCAGAGCTAACGCTGTGGGAGCACACACGTCCTCAGTACTGACCTCGTAGCTGTGTTCGTCGGAGCACAGTTTTCCCAAGGAGATCTGGGTCTTCACCCTGCGGACGGCGCACTCCTTGTCAGAGAGGCCGTCCGACTGGGTGGAGATGTCGATGGGGATGTCTGGTGTGTGCGACAGCAGCTCATCCAGGTGCTCCTCCTGACTGGCGCTCAGCCTCTCCAGGGGCCCGCTGTGGGAGTGGTCGCTGGTGTTTCCCTCTTCTCCATCAGACACCGACAGGTTCTCTGAGCTGAAGGTGGAGTAGGACTGGAAGCTGCTCATACAGCGGTGAGGTCTGTGAGGCAGCAGAGGAATACAAAATGACATCCAGTAATTACCTTTAGGACTGGCTCACTGTATTTGGGAGATGTCAATATTTCAAATTATAATGATTATTTTGGTTATGGTGTGGTGAATGGTTTGTAATGTTCTTGTATTGCACCACATGATGTAACAGTGTTACAACAGAGTGAAGTGAAGATCAAGGTGGCAAATTATATTTTTACCTCTGTCTCCTTGGAAACTCCACTTCACTATCAACCTCCCCCTCTTCCTCTTCAGATGACTCATCGCCACCCTGTAAAAGAAGCAGTTACAGCTGTTAATCCATCATCTTTCACAGTTTTTTTGACACAAACAACTTCTACAGACTCACTGGTTTAAGGCTACAAGCTGTGCTCACCTTCCTGAGAGGTCTGAGAGTGCGGGGCAGTGCAGTGGGCAGGGCGTGAGCGTGTTGGCATGCCTCTTGTTCCTGTGGCTCGGCCTTTTTTGTGGCCTCTCCGTCTGAGGCTTGATCTTTGCTGGGAGCCCCTAAAGAAGAGGGTGTACCTTCTTGGGTGTTGAGCAGTGAGTAGTGGGACAACTCTGGGTGGTTTGATGGAGGGGGGGTCTCCTGACAGTGTAGGCAGCCAGGGAAGGGGTGAGCCTGGCAGCAGGGACACAAAGAACCAGCACCAGCACCGGGGACAGGATTGGAGCTGATGGATGAAGTCCGCTGCCGTGTGTCTGCATCCACGGCGGTGGATATGAGGTCAGGGTTGGAGCCAGACACACGGCGCTGCAGGTGGTCTGTCTGAGGGCTACGGAGGGCAGCGGCGGGGCCGAAGTAGCGCAGGTTGTTGGCACAGTTAACGACGGCCTCTTCGCGGCCCTTCAAGGGGAGGAAGGGCCCCATGGTTGGTGGGTGGTGGTGGTGATGGTGGAAATGCTGCTCCTGAAGACACTGGGTATCTTCCAGTGCCCCAGCGATAGGCTTCAGCAGCCCGGGGAACTCGCTGTGGCTTCCTTTACTGTTGGCGCGGCGGTGACGAGGCTTGCTTCTGTAGCGGGCTTTACCAGGAGGTGTGGAGACCTTCGGGCTGGCTGATAGTGGCGAGGGGGAGGGGAGAGAGTCAACGCTGGGGATCCCATCAGAACGAAGCAAGTCTGGCCTGTGAGAAAAGCATTTAGCAGCGTTAACCTAATATATCTTAATTAATTTATTCTAACAATGTATGGCCAATGTCTGCTAATGAGACTTCTGGCTCCAACAGTACAGTAAATAATCTGAGAATTGTCACTTTAACAGAGAAATTCATGTAAATCCCATCTAAATGAATGCTAATAATAGTTTATTTTAGAACAAAGCTGTTCCATCGGCTATGCTTCCTACCTTTTAGTGGGGGGCATTCCAGGTTTGTGGGAAATGCTTCCTTTCTTCTTGATGAGCTTCTCTACAGCGTTGGACCTGACGATGGGTCGGACCAGGTGGCGCTTGTAGGTGCCGGGGTATTTCTTCTCCACTGCCTGCTCTCTCCTGCAGGGATTGCTGAATTAGTTTGGAGTTATATGACAGTGAAACATATTCACATTCAGTTCTATAGAGAGTTATACACACAAGACAGAATTCAGGTAAATTGTACAAATCTATTTACATGTCTGTGAAGTCAATTTAGGTCTTAAAGTGACAGTTTAAGGAACAAATTAACAAAAAGCAACAGACAAAGACAAATAAATGAAGAAGAATGTCTGATAATGGCAGAAATTAGCAAGAAGTTAGCTGATGATTACTGTAATAAATAGTATATTTACTTACTTCATTAGTTCCTTCTCTCGGACCTCCAGCTGTAGCATGATGGCACTGAGCTCCATGTAGAGGTTGTTGGCTCTCTCCAGTTTCCTCTCATAGTGCTCCCGGATGTCCAGAGCGTGCCTGGAAGAGCACAGGAAATGCAAACAAATGTTTACTTCCAACAACCACTTTCAAAACCACATCACTCACTCTAAAGGAACAAATCCATGCAAAAATAATTAAATTGCCATTAAAATACACAATGGTCTATCATACAAAATCTTTGCGATGCATTCTAAGGGAATAATTTATCTGTATGGTAATGGATGGTAGAGTATCACTGCTGTATGGTACAGCAGTGATACTCAACTTTAGTCAAATCTGGCCTGGGATAGGGTGGCCCTACAACTATTTTCTATTTCACAATGAAAATAAATGTATTAATTCTGATAATTTGTTTGTTTATACCAGTTAGTAAATGTTCAATAATGTCCCTTAGCTGATAAATGGGAAGTTGCCTGGTAGCACTACCAGAAAAGCAAGATGGTCTTATACTGCCACATCAACAATCCTAGTTTATTCATTTTATCTGATAATTATTATTAATGTTTGTTTATTAACTGGCGGAACCCGGGAAAAAGCAAATCGAGTATCCCTGTGCTGCAGCATTTGTTTACTTGTTGCTGACAGGCAAAAATAATCCACGCCATCAACAGGCAACGTGTTTACGAAATGAGGTCACGTCGCTCTCTGGTTTTCCTTTCTTACACACCTGAGTTCATCCCGCCTGCGTCGGATCAGCTCTTCATCCAGCCTGTGGATACAGGTGCCTTCGCTTTTGATCTTCTCAAAATGTTTCTTCACTTCCTCCCTCCATTCTGACTGTAATATGGATGGACACGGTCAAGGTGCTGACAATTCACTCACACAAACGGCATCAGACGATTTAAACTCAGCACTAAGAGAACAATATCATCCAGAGCAGGTACATACTGTCTAAGTTGACTACAGTGCTGACCTGAGACTTGAAGTAGGTCTCCTGAGGAGCTCCTAGGACATCAGCTGAGGCAATGTCGAGGTGTAGGAGGATCTGACGAAACGAAGGCCTATTCCTGGGCTTGCCTTGCCTGGAATCAGCAGGGGAGATGTGATTAAATGAGACTTTTGGCATTTACCTTGAAGTATAAACGTGCCACAAAACCTTTTTAACCACAATATTTCACATAATATCAATATAATAGATAATCAACACTCACCATGTTTGTTTCATGAGGATTTTGAAGCCATCCGGGCAGGTGGAGGGGACAGGAAGGTGAAGACTGTTGCTGCCAACACCCCAAATGATGGCAGAGGAGTCCACGTCTTTGTAGGGAATCTCTCCAGTCAGCAGTTCCCATAAGACAACTCCAAATGACCTGCGACACAGAAGTAAAGACATGTTGTTTCAAATTCAGACTTTAACTGTACATTACCTGCCCTTTTCATTTTATTTACTATATTTCTTAAAAATATATATTATTTCTAATTTGCATCATTTTAATACTCACCAGATGTCTACTTTTTCAGACACAGGCTCGTTTCTTATCACTTCTGGGGCCATCCAGGCCACCGTACCCGCAAATGACATCTTTGTACTTTTGTCACTGAGCTCTTTGGACGTTCCAAAGTCAGAGATTTTCACAGTGTCGTTGTGGGTGACCAGAACACTAAAACAAACACAAACAGAAGAAATATAGACTTGTTTAGCAAGGTTTGACTGTTTAATTAGGCAGACCAAAACAGAAAATATCTCCTAAAAGTTTACTATAACTATATTGCAAATTCTGGTGTTACTATAAAAACTCATGTTCGGCCTCTCATGTCAAAGCAAAGCAATGTCAGACCAACATTAATCCAGGTCAAATAACCCGGGTTAAAACATTTAGACTGATGCCAAGTTTTCCGGTGACATTCCAGGTTTTAAAGCGGTATGAGTTTCTTTTATAGCATTTCAATCTTCAAGCCTAAAAGACTCAGCTGTTACAGAAGCACATTTCTGCATCTGAATCACCCCATTAGCCGAATGAGGCTGACCTTTCCAGCACATTTAGCCTGCTATCATTCTGCTGACTAATACAGTGTTTGGCATTGCTGCGGCATGATGATATTGATTAGAGAAACAGGGCTACAGTGTGCAGAGGATGAGACAGGATGAGCAGGATGAGACAGGACACTGTGTCTTACTCTTATATTAAGGCAAGTAGCTACATTTAATTCTGAGAATGGCATTTAAGTTAATGTAAGACCATTCAGGGATGAAAGGATGAATTGTTGTTGCTGCTGTGGGCTAAGACATCTTAAACAAGGCTTCTGAGCTGTTTGCCTAAGATTTACAGATCAGTTGCTGCGTAACAGTGACAAAACAAGGAAATATACTGTACTCTCCTCTAGATCAGGGGGAAACATCAACTTTGCTGCTTTACACACTGACACATTTTCATTCAATTTAACTGTATTTTAGTTGTAACTCAACACAACTGTAAATTGGGCTCCTGTTCAACGTTTTTTTGAGGATTAGTAAAGATTGATAATTTTCTTAGAATACACAGTGGTGAGAACTAAACAGTTTCTAGGTCTCCAAAATGTATATTCTCATCTTACTAAATGAGGAAATGAGGAAACTCACTTGGGAGACTTGAGATCTCTGTGGATGATCTTGTGCAGGTGTAGGTAGTTCATACCGCTGGCGATGCCAGAGGCCCAGTCCACCAGCATCCTGGGGGTCACTTTCCTCCCCGCCCTCAGCACCTCATACAGCTGGCCCTGGGCACAGTACTCCATGATGATGCAGTAACAAGGTGCCTGGGTGCACACACCCCTAAGTTGGACGAAACACAGAAAAAACACATTTAAAGACCAACGGATCCTGACAATGACAAACCCAATGCTGGTAAACCGTTCACATTTGGACACCATCAGCGCTCCACCAGCTGAAAAGTTTTAGACTTACTTGAAGCTGATGATATTTGGATGCTTGAGTTTTCGCAGGTGTTTAATGTCCGTCTCCTTCTGCTCGCGCACCTTCTTGATGGCCACCTCTTCAGAGCGGAACTTGCCCAAGAAGACGGCCCCCTGTGCTCCGCTGCCGAGCCACTGCAACTCCGAAATCTCTTCAAATGGAACCTCCCACATGTCTGGAAACAAGTGAATTATATTGTACCAAAATAAAATATATATATCGTTATATAAGTGTTTTTAGTCTTTAGTGTTGTTTTTATCTACCCATACTCTTGTACTGTCATTTTGGAGAATGTGCTTATTCACTTTCTTGCTAAAAGTTGGATGAGTAGATTGATAACACTTGCCTGTACGGTAAATATAAAACTATGGCAAGCAGCTGGTTAGCTTAGCTTAGCACAAATAATGGAAAACAGGGGGGAAACAAGTAGCCTAGCTCTTTCCAAAGATAACAAAATCTGCTTACCAGCACCTTTAAAGCTCTCTAACCGGTTATTTATGTGCTGAACTATTTCTAGACTGGACACAGTGACTTTCTGGAGTCTCAACTGGCTGTCTGGCAACCTTACTAGGACAACAAGACTACAGGAAGTGAAAATGAAAATAAAAATGTCAAACTATTCCACTGAAAATTTAAACTATCTTGGGGAAAAATACAGTCACAACACTTTCAAAATAAATGTCATGCAGTTTCAGTCATCCTCATCAGAAGGTCCTACTCTCTGAGGTACAGATTTGTGGCACAGCAGAAAAAAAAACATCACACAAAACATGGCTAAAACTAAATATCATATTTCATATATGCCATACTGAGCAAAAATAAATCTAAAGCCATGTGCACAACTGCTATAAATGTCGTTCAAACTGTGAGTCATATTCTGTTCCATCCTCGTTATGTGGTTTTGAAACCAGCGTAGAGGAGAAGCTATGCTGCTGAAAATCTCCAGCCCACTACATATGAACATTAGCTGACCAACCACAAGACCCAGCCCAGTTCTGTCTGACCTCAACTCGTATCCTGTAGCCTCTGTGTCCAGCCTGTACAGGCAGGCCTGCAGCAAGGTGAGTCTACCTTTACCATGACCTCAATTCAAACTGACAGCTGTACAGCTCCACCCACAACAACAATATGATGAAGCTAGGGGTGGCTGTTCAATTATGGTTACAGGATATTTGAATTAAACAGAGTATTTAGTTTCCTAAACTGATGCCATTCAGAAATAAAAAAAACCCAGAACTAACCTTGCTGTTGTAGCTTGTATTCTGTCGAGTATGTCTTCCCTATGATGTTCCAGACAGGCCGAAGACAGCCAAAAAGACCCTCTAAGAAGCCACCCGACCCAGGCCCGGCTCTGTGGAAGTGCAGTTTGATGTCATCAGGGTGATGGGGGTGGCTCTGCCTCCCTTCTTCACTGTGGTGAATGGGACACTCTCCTTCTCCTGTCTGCTCCTCCATGCCACTGCCACACCCAACGTGCTCACAGGAGGCCGGAGATACGGCTTCCTCGTGGTCGTGCTCCTGCAGCTGGAGCACGCTGTTGTCAAAGTGCCCACCCTCGCTCCGTGTCGAGTCCACACTCAAGGCTGTGTTAGGGGGACTTATACCCCCCAGCACTGAGTCCTCGTCCTGGCCGGGTGTTTGCAGTGTCTGCAGGGGAACAGGCAGGTGTGTCGGCGGGGCCAGGTCTGTGATAATCTGAGGAGGTAAATTGGACGGAGGGGCCTGAGGAGGCTGAGGTTGGGAGTTGGGCGAGTTTGATTTCTTCATGGCGTCCCCAACCACAGTGAGTTTGAGCTCCTCCTTTAGCTTGCCCACCAGCAGACTGGGGCATGAAGTCCACGATAGCACCTCGGGGGAGCTACCCATGGTGTCATGCATGTGCATGGGCTACCCACTGATGATGAGTTGGGCACGTCCTAACACACTGGTTTGTCTAAATGCTGTAAATCACCTGCATAATTGGGAGAGAACAAGAACAAGAAAAAGAGGCAGGTTAGTTAAATTATTAAGTACATAGAAAAAGAAATGCAGATTAAATTGAGTCGAGTTAAATCCATTTGGATGCTTATAGACTACTTTGATACAGCATAAACACAATTGTAACTGTTGCCATGGAGCTCTCTTACTTCCACAAAGAGACATGCAATCCTCTCATTGCCTCTCATAGATCTGGGATTGAGAGAGCTTACATTAATGATGATTATTTAACTATGAAGTGCAAACACTGCAGGGTGGAGGAGGTCAGAAATATCAGATGGGCTTTAAATCAGTGCACAGGAGACAGGGTTGCTAAATGAAAGACAGACTAAATACAAATAATGCAATTCTGTGAAATTTCTGGGAAACAGTTGGACTAAACCGATCACACATACACAACTGGAGCTTTAGTATGTTCCCTGTGAGGCAGTAACAGTATAGCGGGGATTAAAAGTCTTGCTGTGTGTATTAGGACTGCTGAGAGCAAAACATCTGGCATACACAACCCATTCTCATTGCTTAACCAGCAGGGCCGGCATTGGCCACTGAAGACCTGTAGCCAGCTGCCCAGCAGACTTACTAGTTTTCTTCAGTCACTGAATAACCGGGAGAAAATTTATACCATCTCAATCTGCCTATTAGTGTTACACAAGACGCTGCTGAACCAGGGTGAGGGAAGGGACACAACTTTCCTAAACACAGAGGTCATTATGCAACATGTTGTTACTTGGATCGGGTCATATGGGGAAAATCCTGTATCACAACAGATGCCATTGTATACCACAATATTTATAGATATTGTGATACAAAAATCTTCTTGAAAAGTTAATCGATAAATGGCCCCTACATTAGATCTGTTCTTAGATTTGCAACTTTACTCGTAAAAGCCGAATACATCCAGAGATATTGAGGCTGTAGCTTTCATGACATGGCAAAATCTCTGATAAATTTAAACCTAACTTAAAGTACATGTTGTCATATTTCTCCAAACTAGTTGTCACCACTGATTTCTCAAACATGGCAAATGAGCTTAGCACATATGCACACACGTAGAGAATAATACGGTGTGAAATTAATCTCAACTCAAGGTCCACCTACTTCCTTTTTCTGAGCTATTAGAAGCATCTCACATCTCACAGTGTTCATCAGGTGAGTGAAAGGGTTGTTGAGAGGTCAGTCAAAGCCAGTGAATGAGTGAGTGAGTGGAGGTCATTTTGTCATGCATAATGATCTCAAGGTCAAGAACCTTCCACTTTTATACGTAAGGATAATATTGGCAGTAACTGTGTAATACCTTTAGTAGTTTTTTATTAAATATTCACCAGAAGAAAATATGTAGAACTGAATAATACAACACGTAAAATGTATCAATAGTAAAAGCGATTACTCTGTATTTATTATTTTTCGTAGAAATCTAAATCTAAAAAGATAAAAAGCTAACAAAACGTCACAAATAGATATTTTTTAAAAGGCTCAGTAATTTCCTAAATCCGCTGTAGATTTATAGCTAACATTAGCAATAATGCATTTGTTGGGGACATGAATTAATACATATTTTGTTCTCTAGTGTGTATTTGAAGGAGCAGGATGCTGTAAATGGGACCTAATCAAGAAAACTACTTATCTATGCAAACATTTTCCTGTCAATCTACCAATCTACTTAATACAGTATGTAGCATTTTTGCATGATTTTAACGTCTTTCGTCAAATTATTCTGATGGCAAAAGATTTTGTTTGTAGAAAAAAGAAAGACTCCTGAAGAAAACTGGACTTTAAAGTATGTGTTTCTTTCTTTCTCTTCGTCTCACTGTCCTTGGGTCAGACAAGACTGCGTGGGGGTGTATTGGTGTGCAATGCTCTCTGCCAGTGTCTTTTTCAACACTATCACTGGGAGTTGACAAAGTCTGTAATTTGTTGCAACTGTAAAAATACACTTTGTTTTCATACAAACAGATTGCAATTTATCCAGTCTGACTGTGCTTGTTTACCAATCTTGGCAACAACAAAAAAAGCAGCACAAAGCGAAGTGTATCAATTTCTTCTTAAATTACACTCCATTTTCCCCCCTCTTTAACCCCTGAGGACAAGGCCTTAGTAAGTCAATCAAAGTTAAGAGGGCAGGAGAAAATATAGAGTGAGGGACACAGCGAGAGGGAGATAGTGAGAGGCTGTACAGAGTGTACAGTTGGGAACAGAAGATCAAAGTCCACGAGGGAGGAGACAGAGTGGCATAGCAGCGAGCTGGCGCTGTGTTACGTGGAAGTTTTCTGAAGGGTAGAGGGCAGTCCTGAAGTCCAATCAAAACACACTTAGTTTATGTTGCCCTCTGTGGGGAACACTGACATGAATGGGCAGCTCTTCCTCTTGACATAGGTCGAAGCACAATAAAGCCTTGATCCCTCGGACGCAGACAAGTCTGCTGCTGAAATGCTGCAAAACCTATTCCAGACCCCAGCATGGGTGTGTTTAATCATGCCTTTGTTATTTAGCATTTTGCCTTTTTTGGGTACTTGACAATAGTATGAAGGAAAGAAAAGATGGGAAACGGGAAAGGGCACACATTAAAAGTTAGTGACAGGACTCAGAAAGTGCAGATGCTCACAGTTACATGGTTTGCGTCCCAGTTCGCTGCTCCACACAGATGCCTCTTATATGTTTGTGCGAATGCATGTACTGTATCCATGTGTATCTACTGGGGGGGTAACCTGAGCGCTGTGAGAGTGTAGTGGCTGCCAGGAGCTCATCTATAATGCAGGCCTGTCTCTAAGCAGGTTGCTGAGAGTGCAGGGGAAGGAGAGAATGCTCTCTCAGGTATCCAATAAATCCGTCCCTTCCATAGCCGAGACAATCGAGCTGTTCGAGTAGAGGCCCGTGCTGTAATTCCACCCCGTGGACGATTCTCAGAGCTGGGCTTCTGACGTGGGCCATGGTGAGTGGATGTGGTCGGCTGGACAGAAACACTCGCAAGGAGACACAAGCCTGCACGCACAGTACCATGTATAACCAAGTTAAAACTGCACTATTATCTCGCCTAAATAATGACTACAGAGCACAGTCAGACAGAAAATCTGATGCCTTTCAACTTCTTATAATTTTCACCCATTTATGCTCTCCGCCCGTCTCTTTCCTCGTTTCTAATAAGCTGAATCAGGACTGAGTCTATGCGTCTATATCAGACACAAAGAAAAGGAAACAGACCTCTCACTCTTTCCCATTAATCTCTAATGGAAGATCTCTATGGGCATAGAATCCCATGAATAATGTCTGCGCCTCATCAAGAAGGGCCCAGGGTTTCATTTACAGTCATTTATTTACAGGACTTTCCGAAAGTGACCGTGACTTGGCAAAAGGACACTCTGACGTTGAAAGAATGTTTGCATAAAGTAGATATCGCCTTAGAGAAAGAAACAATGCAGATGCTCAGCAGAATGGATGAAATTAAGAAGGGGGGGGGGGCTACAGAAATTATCAGGGGCTGAGGGGCTGATCCTTTAATCCCTCTACAGGCCTCTAGAAACAAGCTTGTACAAACAGAGACCTTATTCAGCCCTCCCCCCTCCATATATCCTCTACACACTTCCTTTTATTTCTTGCCTCTCTAAGTACAACCTAATGTTTACAGTCAACAGCACAACGCATCATGGTAAGTACAGCTTTAATATATCAACATACTTATAGACTATGAATATCACTCAATAGTATAGTTTACACTTTATATCAGTGTGTGCATGTGTGTGTCTGTACACGGCAGCTGGTGGTGCAGGGAGATCAGGTTCAGCGAAAACACGTGCTCACACACACACTCACACACACACATATGCCCGGGGCGTGTCTGGCAGGATCCAATAATCCCACTACTCCCAGCAATCCACTGGGGAGAAGAGTTTTTCTGTGCCACTCAGCAAACGCCATTACAGTTGTTTAGATTCTGTTTCAACGTGCTCTACCCACACAAAAGCAGCTGGACCTTCCACAACATATTAATGTAGCAACAGAGAGACCTTTACCATACACAGGAAGTGCTCATTTATGCTCACACACACACACACAGCAGCATCAGTAGCAGCAGCAACGTCATCTGTGTCTCCATCACTCTGCTCCTCATTAAGGGAAGCCCTGCTGGGCCCCATAGGGGGAACCTCCCTTTAGGTGACAGCTGCGCCACCAACAAAGAACCAATTTAGTCCCTATCCCACCTCGTCATTCACACGTTACCATGTCAACACAGCATCCATCCTGACCTTCTGCTTCCAGTCACACTCACTCTCATCCAACACTCAGGTTTGGAGAGTCCAAAAAGCCTGGAGGATGCTTTTATATCCACCAAGCCTGTCACATAGGGAAAGCAGAACAGTGTTGACAAAATAGTGGTCTTCGCTTTCTTTAAAGTGAGGAATTAAGTGCATTCATCAGAATATACTGGGCTTTTTTTAAGAACAAAGAACATGTTATAGCTCTTTACCTTAAAAGTAGATGGGTACAACTGTCCACATATCAGATACTAAAAACCTAATAATAACAGATTTATACAAATATCTGATTAAACAGCTTCAGAGTCTTATGAATACAACACAGTGAGCCAGGGTCAAACCTTTTTACAGATACTGTCCAGATCCGGCAGTCTGGTTTGCACCATCGCCCCAACCTGGAGAGCTAATTGCTGGAAGTAAAGATGTCCTGCTCCAGCCCGTTCCTATCCCTCCTGACCTCTTTTCTTGAAACAAACAGAGCAACGGCTGATGAGAGCTGTACTCTTCTCCGCTGAGCACCAAAAGTAACCAATAAAGGAAAAGTTTAGAGTATAAAAACAAAACAGATTGAACAAATACAAGAGTCTCTTATCATCAGTAGCTCAGAAGGCTCTGTGGTCTGAACTACACATGTGACCGTCTGTTATTCTGGGTCACAGTTGAACAGCTGAACTCTGGTATCTGTACTTGTTTCCTTGTCAGTGCAGACTATGGACTTTCATGGCCAATGTTCATCATGTGAGTAAACAATGTTATGAAACAGAAATCTGGAAACATACTGCTCATAGATTTCTCTCTGGTCACTGAGCCAGACAAAATTCTTACATATTCAGCAATATGAAAATCACATACAGAGACCTCCGAAATATGACTCTGCCAACAGAGCCGCCCAAGTCCTGATTTGATTGTCGGGATGTGGGCTGATGTCAAATCAGCTTTCCCTCACTTCCATGGCCATGAGTCCTGCCAGAGGGGATTGGACAGGCTGCTGTAGGTGGATGAAAGTAATAATCTGCTGGTGTGGGCACAGCGGTGGAAGGGAAAATAAACAAATTCTGGCACAGCATTCAGGCATCTGCCATCACATGGCTGACATTTCCCTATAATCCCTCCTTCTTCATATTCTGATTCCCTCTGGTGACTCACCTGGGCTGACTTAAATACCTGGTGGTGGCTGGAGGGGAAAGCAGGCCATAGAACAATAATCCCTGCCTGCCTACCTGCCTGCCAGGGGTTTGACTGGTGTTGCCGGGCAAATAAAAACAAGGTCAAAGCTGCTCCTGCCGAAGCCACAGGGAAAGTGCCAGGTGGGATCATCTGAAATACGCTTGGTTTTGTTATGAAGTCTGGATTTCTCAGGAAGAGGAGGGAGGAGGAGGAGTGCAGTCAGGTGGATGAATGAAACTGCCAGAGAGAGTTGACTGATAAAATGATGAAAGAGTGTGTAAAGAAACAAAAACAGCTACACCTCAGCTTCTCAAGTCCAAAACATCAACGTGTGACTGTGTGGTTCAACAAACCAAATTCATACTTGCAGAGTCCAGCTGACCGACGCATTCTAGAGGTATACACTCAAACACAGGGTTGACATGGCTGTGGATAATTAGCACTCCAAACACACACACATAACTTGCTCCTCAAATAGCCTCAGCCGGTACCAGCCAGAACTGAAGAAAATAAATAACTGAAGAAAAGAGTGTGCGCCATCGACGCGTCACACACTCCCTCCAGCTTCATTCTCCCAGCCTCTCAGTGAGGCTGCAGCCAGAACTGCAACCAGGACACACAGCCTCCTAAAGTCTGCAACTATCACGCATACTCTGCTCTGAAAAGCTTCAATATTGGCCTTTTCAGTCAAGCAGAGTCTTTGTTCCCAGCGATGCTTAACGATAAAGCTTTACAGAGCTCTATTTATGAATGCTAACCAGATCCATCCAGATAGATGATGAATGCAAACAGACAGAAAGGGACAGCGGGGCCAAGGAGACAGTGGAGTGAAAGAATAGCTCAGAGAAAAGTAGAGGAAGAAAAGCAGATTAGGGAGACAGAAAAGGATACGGAGGGTTATGAAGGAGGGAGATAGTGAGGAACATTTCGCGGCTGGAAACAGAAAAGAGGGAGAGGGGAGAAAAATGAATGAGGGACAGACAAAAAAGGAGAAGGAGAAACTGCTTTACTGCCACTGCTGTGGCGGCTTGCGGCGTGATACTGTACCGACCACGCTCCAATGGGAAAGACTCCCAGAGCGACAACAAAGGACACAAGAGGAGCCGGCTCCATGTGAACTGGGCCTGTCTGCCCTGCACGGCCAGGAGACAGCACACACACACAGACAAACACACTCAGCACTGCACACCAGAGCAGCTGCTGCCACAACAATCCCCCTTGTGCTCTTTTAATAGGGACGGCCTGCCTGGCCCGCCAACAACAAGGGCCGGGGAGAGAGACAGACACACAAAAAGTGACACAACAGACAAACACGCATATTGCAGGAGACTGGCTGTGACTGACACCATTTTAATGGCTGCAACATGAAAATACACAAAGCTATGGAGCAAACAAAACAAAAAAAAAATGGAGCATGTGAGTCTAACGCGAGGAAATGTTGTCCTAGATCTTCTTTCTTCTGCCTAAAGACAGAGTCTGCCACAGCAGAAAGCCAAGAAATCAATACACATTAGTGCTTCTATTACCTCCTGGGTTCATACTACAACTGCTTGCCCTTAAAAAAATGTTTTAGTATTAAATTATTTACCCCAAGCAGCTGAAGTGAGACACTTTAGAAAAAAAAAATCCAAATGGCAAACTCCTCATGGATATGAATATGCAGCCATTATTTTAAATGCTCTGTGGAGAATAGATGGATGGATGGAGCTCTCCCCTCCTCCTCCTCCTCTTCCTCCTCCTCTCTTTTAAAGCCCGGCTGCCGGCTACTCATCCAGTGCAGTTACATAAACATGCTTAGTAGCAGAGGACAGAGGTGGGCACACACAGAGCTTTCCTGCTGCCAATCTGAGTGAATAAAGAGATGGATGAAGGTGCAAAGTGGGGGAGAAAAGTCAGATGGTGAAGCAGGCAGGGGGGGACATGGACAAAGACAGAGGTAGAGTTAACTAATGCAAAATGAAACACTGCAAAAGGAAACTGAATGTGATTTGTGTGTGTGAACATAGTAAAATAACCGTGGCTGTGCATGTGTCCCTAAAAAAGTCTCATCATCTGTGAACCACCAGCGTTATAATGCCTCAGAGTATCATTTGGCTGCAACATCACAAGGTTGAGGGTTAGTTCTGTTGGTCTATACCTTTACCTACATCTCAACCTGTCCTTCAGAGGGCACAGAGAAGTACTGCATCAAAAAGCAGCAGCAGCAGCATCACCGCTGAGCCTAAAATAGCTCCTGCACGCACCGACGCATGACCGCTCAACACACTCCTGCAGCACTGCTACTGAACAAACACTGACAGCTGATCCACATACAAACAACGCACGCATTATGCACACATTTGAATGTCTCCTTGCAGACATACACACATGAACAATCGAAGAAAAACACCAGAGACAAACATACAAGCTGGAGAAGTACCTCCACATCACACCAGCTTCCACTCGGCAAAGACACAGCATCAGCAGATTACTCACAGCAGACAGAGCTCAGATTCATGGTCCTCTCTCAGCTCCGAGGCAGGGACGGATAGAAAAAAAAAAGCCAGGGGAAGAAAGACTGAACTGACGGTCAGGATGGAGAAAAACAACATGAAAAGCAGGGAGAGGGGGAGACAGAGGCTGGAGAATGACAGGCATTCCTCTAACTCCCGCAGCACCTTGGCTGTGAGTGGGTGGCCGGGAGCGTCACCGGGTCGCTGAAGACCTGCTCACGTCACACTTTTCATGAATGGAGCTGTCTGACGCAGAGAGGACGCGGCTCAAAGAGCAGAGGAGGAGGGGATGGGAGAGGGGGCTCGGGGGTTGCAGGAGAGGTGGAGCCTTCTGCACAGACTCTGAGAGGAGGAGCAAAGAGAGATGAAGAGGAGAAGGGAGGAGGAGAGGGGGGATGTATTTCAAAGCGGAACCAGCTGGGAACAGCAGGTTAGGCTGCGGTGGCGTCTCTGTAAGTAGGACAGGCCGTTTCTGCACAAGAGAAATCCCTTTGTGCCAAATCAGTAATCAGTTCTCTCCATGCCAGTTGTATCAACATCCCACATATGACTACACACTGTAACAAGTATTCCAGCATGGGCTATCCATTTGTGACTAAAAATAACATGAAAAATGTCCTTACAATTTCCTAAACATCTCTTCTCCAACCAACAGTTTAAAACCCAAAGGTTCAATTTCTTCTGTGCTATCACACACAACAGAGAACAGCAGCAAATCCTTACAACTGAGAGGCTGGAAGAAGAGAGAAGAGAAGGGTATTTTCTGTCTGAAAAATAACTAAATTGATTGTCAAATCAAATCAAATACTCGACTAATCGTTTCAGCTCTAAATACAACAACAACAAAAACTGTACAATACATATTTAGGATCTTATTTTGTAGTCCAGTGTGGCACCACAGAGGGAATCCTCTATAACACAATGTTAAATTTTATTTTCAGGTGAACTGTTTCTACGTAGCAGGTAATTACAGGTACAACAATTATTGATGATGACATGTTGTAACAAATAACTTTATTAATGGTAAATACATTTAGGAATGCTTTATAGATCAGTTATAAGGCATCCATTACAACAAGGTAAGGTTAAGAAAAATCCCTCTGGTTCCAATGAACCCTCCTCTAGGACACTTTTGACTTAATGACTCATAAAGTATTAGCATAAATTACGTATTACCTATTAATAAAGCCATTAGTTACTAATTAATCCATACATAAAACCTAATAACCCAATCCCTTCTTTGTGGAAATTCTCTTTAATGTAGTTTATAATTTGAAAATCTCAAATTAACCAAGGTCACATCCGCCTCCTCGCACACACACATGCACACACAGTTCAGACCTGCTTCTGTAGTTAAATAAAAATTAAATTAGTATGATTAACCTTGTGATTTTCACCACAGGGTGTAAATTATCTGCACAGCTGTGCTTTCTCTTCATAAGCTAATAACTAGTCTACTGTAAACTGTCAGACTTTGACTACATGAAAACGTAGGTTGATCATATACTGTTGTAGGACTGAATTTGAGTATTTTGCCAAGCTTTGCATGATGATGAGCACTCAAATCTCAAATCAAACCACCTGACAGGAGTCCATACTCAAGGGGGAATAAGAAAGTCTAAGCTTTGGGGTTGAAGGACTATGACAGTCGGAGAAAAATCAAAAAGGTCAGAGGCAGAATGTCAGAAGAACCATTCTTTACTCTCCTCAAAAGGTCATTTAATGTCTCTCACAATCTCTCACACTCTAGAATGAGCTCAAGTAAAAGCATTTCATTCAGCCGTTCAACTTCTCTACACATTTGTGCATTTGTGTGCAGGCTTTTGTATGCGTGTGCCTACATGTACTGACCTGTCAGGTGGTTTCTGAGCATCTCACAGGTTTTGCTGAATGCGATCTGGGCTCAGGTTCGGCTCCGTTTTTGCTTCTCACCTGCATATACACACACAGAGCAGGGATAAAGTGAGTGACAAGTTAAACTTTGTGGAGACTGAAAAATGGCATGAATGAAGATGCTGCATTGTGTGCAAATGCACATTTGAACATTTGGAGCGCTAACAAAGGTAATGCCATCTGCATCATTTTCAGATTTTCAGGGTGACATTAAAGAACATTGACTGAACGGCTGAGTCACCAGTTAATCAAAAGACTGGAGAGAAGGGGGGGGGGGGGTTCTGTGTCTGTCTGTATATATGTGTGTTTGTGAGTGTTAATGGCAGAGATTGATACTGACTGCAACCAGAGGGGGGTATATCAAAAGAGATTGATTGAGAAGGAGGGCCTGCGGGTGAAAGGAAAGGCTTGGGGAACAGATGCTCCACCCCATCCTCTCGTTAACGGCCTAAACCTCTGGGGAAGATGATGATGTCGGCAGGGGGGAGGGAGTAGTGGGAATGTAATGATGCATGGAGGGTCGGGGGTTGGGATATTGGAGCAGCATTGTCCACTCTCCATCCTCAAACCACACCCCAGCAGGGGACACTGCCAGAGGAGGAGGACTGGTATCCCGGGGCGAGGCTGAGGGGGAGACTTCCAAACACAGCCTATAAATAGCGTGAAATGACAGTCAAATGAGTCACGGTGCAGATGGCCGAGGATGCTGGTTCTAATGGGACCGACATTGGGGAATGGTAAGTGTAGTTGGCGGATTGTTGGATCTCTTCAAACTACACCTTTGTGATGCAAAGTCCAAAATGGAAACAATGTCAAGCATTCTTCTGGATCTGAAAAGAACAGGAGTGGGTGTAGACCGAAATTGTTATTCTTGCCATGCAGCTGAAGACACACTCCTGTAAACATGTACACAGTACACGCACAAAAACACAGCCGGGGCATTCCCAAATATACAGCTCTAGTAAATTTTGGCGAAGAGAGATAGAGCGAGACATTAGGTATCCATAGGAGCAAGGAATTCAAATACCTGAGCTGTTTGCTTAGCGAGGACATCTAGCTCCGCTCTACAGCTGAAATTCCAAAGGTCAGCAGATCACAAGCCTCTGAGCTTATGTGGAAACAAGCAAAGGCACATTGTACTACGAAAACTAGCCAGCAACTCACTCCAACTAAGAATTTTTTATGAAACACTGAACTAAATGTGATACATAGTCATGATACAGTTTAATGATATTATCAGACATAGCCAAAGGATCCTGTAAAACCAAAATTAATCAGAATCAGTGACTTAGAAGGAAGCTGAAGAGGCTTTCCAGTGTTTTAAATATGCAGTTTAATTTTTAAAAGGCTATCCTAGGGCTAGTGCTTTTAACAAATATTGATTGCATTTACTTTAAACTCATCAAAGCAGTGTTGACTTGTGAGAACTATCTATCTAACAAATAATGCATGAATATCAATCATAGTTTCCATATCAAAAACCCACAGATGTTTTAGTGAGCCAGGGCTACGTATGGGAGAGCTGTCTTTAAATTTTCTCTCATTATATTTCCTCCATCCTTCAATTTCGCATCGTATTTATTTTCTACTTTGATTACAGCTTCCTCAGGTAGAAACTGCCTTTCAGTACAGTATGTGAAACATTAATTATGTTCCTATCAGTCATCGCTTGAGATGAAAAAAAAACATAGATAAATCACAAAGTAAAAGCAAAGCTCATTATAATAAGACTATAAAACAGTTTTTTTGTGATCATCATGGCCTCTCGGGCCCTCCTAACACACCTCTGCTGAGCCAAACATCTGCCATATTTACTTTTGCTGCAATTACATGGACAAGCCACCTGCCTGACTACTTGAGGTGATACTGTTCTGTGCCTTGGCTTGCTTCATACTGTGTTAATATGCTGTGTGCGGGTCAGTGCTATACTCTGTAGCATACCACTGCTTGTTATGCCACAGAAGTGATTGAAGTCTTTAATGATCACCAATGACTAGATTGTTTACAGCTACAACATGATGAGTGATTAACACTGTGTTATGGTTTTATTCTTACTAGAAAGTCTATAGAATCTAACTAACAATACTCATTGTATTCCTCATGTACTGTAACTCAAGTCGATCATAAAGGACGTTTTTGTCAATTGAATCAGAAACTATTCCAAGCAAAGTGAAGTTAAGAACAGGGAATCATTGGAGGGTAACATATATTATATATATTCCCATGCAGAAAATGATTGTCTCAAAATATGAACTGAATCGGAAATTCACACTAAGGATGCAACTACTTTAATAATAATCTGACAATTATTTAGCCAGTGAAAAAGGTTAAAAAAACTGGAATCTCCAAATATCTCGTCCGACCAACAGTCAAAAAGCCAAAAACTATTCAATCTACAAAAATAGAAAACATAAAATAGAACAATATGCTGATTTAAAAAGCTGAATCCAGAGAAAGCTTGCCATTTTTGCTTGAAAAATGACCAATTTATCAATTATAAAATTGTTGGCAACTTCAGCCTCCACACAGTGTTTCACAGGTCAGTGTCAAAATCCATCATCTTTCCATCATCATCTTAATATAAGATCTAGATGTTTGAAAAAATGAATTACATCCACAAATTTGCCCATGAATCATAGCCTAATCTAACTTACTACAAGCCTTTAAATAGGTTGTCTAATCTAAACAATAGCCACAACCAGATATTAATCCTTATTCAGATTTATTAGATGGTCAAGAAAAAATCCAGACCACTTCTTAAACAACAAAAGCGTCTGACCTCAAGTCTCTAAATTAGCTTTATCCCAGCGGCCGAAGCCTCTTGTTCTGTCTTCATCACCGGCCACACAGACATGATGTACAGCCAGTTAGTGCTCCATGTGCCCTGGCCTTGCCTCCAAGTGCAACAGAGCTGTAAACCACACTGGCTTAGCTCCGTTATACACACTCATTACTATTTCACCAGCAGCGGAACAACAGCACTGACAGCTCCTGTGTCCCCCGCATTAATAAGAGAAAAAGCACCATCGCAGCTTACAGTGGTTTACCTTTACCATCTGCCATCGCATGCAGTGGCCAGGTACAGACACGCTTGCCCACACACACACACACACATCTATGATTACAGACTAATAAATAAGACCTCTATGGAGATTTGCTCAGTCTTACAGTATGCTGACATGTCATACTGGGTCACATTAAATTATGAGTAAGTACAGGTGGAAGAAGTAATCAAATCTGGCAACGTCAACACAAAAACCCTCTCTCCAATACAAGTGATTCAAAGTGTCACTTAAGTACAACCAGTATCAAAGATAGACATTGTACAGATGAATGATTATGTTCTTGTTTTTCATATATTAGGGTTTTTTTATGCAATAGTTTTTGCTTTACATGGGAAACAAAGTTAAATGTTTAGGTTACTTGTTTAATCTTTAATTTTAACTTTTGGGGCTAAGAAAACGTTGGTAGATTTATAGTCCAAAATGCATTGCATTATTGATTTAAAATAATGTTCTTTTAAGTAGTGTCTGAAAGGTCGAGATTTTAGAGATATCTCTTTATATTATGAGCTACTAGGTGTCACGTTTCCTTCGCGCCGTATATCATACTTGGCTAAAAAACGGAATTTATATCTAAAATTTTCCACTTTAAACTATTTGATGTAGGTAAAGTTTTGTGCAATTAGGTTGTCTTTTATGAAATGAAAAAATGATTTTGTATGTTCGCATTTATCAGAGCAGGTACTGTTTTGGTATTGGTACTGAAACTAACTACATTAGTATAGAAAACGTACTATTAGCACTTGAGAGCTTAATGAATCTGTAAAATAACTACAGCAATCAAAAAACTTAGTAAAATTTAAAGTTAAAAATAGAATTATAAAAAAGTAAACTAAGAGCAGAAACCCTTAAGAAAATGGCAATTCTCATACAAACCACCCGTATCTAAAACTGTACTCGAGTACACTCTGAGATCTCTGTACTCCATTAAAAGTACAGGGTAGGTCTAAGTTGTGTGACTGCAGAATGCAACCTCTAAGACAATCAATGAGGTAAACTTGGAAATAGTGTGTAAAGCAATTAAACTGTCAATAAAAGCCTTTTTCTGTCACTGTGATCGGCTCAAGGTCTACTGTTGGCACAGCAACAGTCAGACATAGACAGACCAGATACTTCTAGAGGGGAGATTTCCCTCTGTTAGAGTAACTAATCTAATTCATTTCTCAGTCTATGATTACTTTAATGTCTCTTCACATGTACGGCAGTGAGCTGTTAATGGAGAGAAACCCTTATTATGTAATAGTAGTACATTACAGGACTTTATTGTCCTAAAAAAGCTCAAAAAAAGCTGAAGCTTACAGTAAATTAACAAATAGAAGATAGAAAGCAGAAATACTTATATTATCCCTTCACATTTCCTGATTTAAGTATAAAGTACTTCATCTTTGCCTCTGTAGGGAAGAGCTTTATTTACTTTATTTATTCTTACGGGTCAGTTTTCCCTACAAGATGTCTCCCCTACTTGCCAAATCTGAAATTATTAACACTTATCTTAATTTTTACTGTACAAAAACCCTTGTAATAAGGTGGTATGACTGTTTCCACACTTTCACCAAATGCTTTTTTGGTACCGTCTGCACCCCCAGAACAGAGATAGCTGGTCGGCCACTGGATAAAAGAAATGGAGAGAGAAAGTCAGATGAGTTCAGGAAATACCTAAACTAATGAGAACAGACTGGTCCCCGAGTATGTTGACTTCATGCACAAGGACAACCCTGTTTGCCTAAGATGGATGATAGAAACAGGCCGGCCTGTCTGGTGGATTGGATTTACAAAGGCAGGCATGGATGAGAGTCCTGCACACAACAACCACTGATTCTGAGAGACAGATAATGCTTGTGAGATTACCGTGCTGAGCCCACCAACAACCTCGGCCTGACCAATCCGCGCTGAGAGGAAATTACATAACAATGACTGTTCAACACTCCCGGAGGATTCTGCCCGCACCACAACAATCCATCTATCCTGGTTCCCTCT